GGATTCTCGATCTCCGGCCGCATCACCCCGCACACCTGGGAATACGCACACGATAAGCACACGCAAACGCACCGACACGGTTTTACCGTGAGCCAGCAATTATAATCGCACCCAGAAACCGTATCACACGATAGAATTCCGCGCGCCGTCAAAATAAACACGGCGTTGCCGTACACGCGCCGATCGACCGCGCCCTGTTTCTTGCGCATTTTCGCGCGCCGTCAAAATAAATACAGCCTTGCCGTACACGCGCCGATCGACCGCGCCCTGTTTCTTGCGCGTTTCCCGCGCCGTCAAAATAAACACGGCCTCGCCGTACGCCGCCGAATATCTTAAGCGGTTCGATACATCGAACATCGCGCACCGACTAACGAACGCGAATTGCATCTAACGCGTTGCATTATCCGCCGCGCGCTAGCTTCACGCAACATATTGTAAATAGACCATTGCCGAAAGATGCGAATAAATACGCTGCATTATAACTAAAGCTTTTCGTGTGTCTCACTTTTTCACGAGCCCTGATCCCGATCGAGTTTATCCGCGCGCGCTCGCGAAAAGTAACCCCGTTACATTGGCGTTCGAACAGATAGGATCGTCCGGGACACACGATTTTTTTTCTTTTTTTCCTCTCTGACGGCGTGGTCGATAACCGAGCGTTATGAAGACCTGGCTGTACACGCTCTCGAAAAAGCAACTGATAGCTATAGCCACACAACATGGCATCGAGACGGCCGGCACACTCGATGTCATCCGCAGCCGGATGAGTCAATATGTAGACTCGCACCCGGAAGAATTTGGGGCACAAGGCCCGGACGTCCGGAACACGCGGACGCCCCCGCGAATAGAGATCGCACCACCGAACGAACACCGCGACGAAAGGCGCGGATTCGAACCATCCGCGAACACGCAGATGTTAGAACAACTGCGGAAATGGGGACGTCCGTTTGACGGTCGCGACCCAATCGCGTTCCTGGAACGCGTAGACGACCTCCGCGCGAACTACGGGTACTCTGGCGAGCAGTTATTGAATGGGCTGTCCGATCTCCTACGAGGAGACGCCGTCGCATGGGCGCGAAATAACCGCGAAGACTGGCGGACGTGGGGGGACTTTTGTAACGCCATCCGCCGGCGGTATCTGCCCCCACAATACATAGAAGATTTACAACAGCAGATAGCCGAACGAAAACAACGAGAGACTGAAAAGTTCGCGCCATACGCGGACGAGATGATGACTCTCATACGCCGAGCTGGGGGGTTTACGCGCGACCAACGACTGTCGCGAATTTACGCGAACATGCGGCCAGATTATAAGAGGTACGTCAAACGCCGGGACGTGCACGACTTAAACAAATTGTTCGATGACGCCGCGGAGTTCGAGCGGATCGAGCAGGAGCAACCGAGCCGGAGACCGTACAGCGCTACGACACCGACCGTAGCGACCGCGTATAACCGGGAGGAGTGCCGCTGGCGCTGCAAACAGTGGGGGCACACCCGGTTTCAATGCAAGCAAACACCCCGACTTTTCTGCTCGCAGTGCGGGAAAGATGGAGTACTTACTGACAACTGTCATCCGCCGCCGGGAAACGCCAGACGCGCCGGGAGTACCACGGCCAAACCCCGGGCGCCCAGACGATAGTGAAATATACACCGCGGCCACATATTACGGCTACAATCCACGGACACCCCGTGGAAGCCCTACTCGATTCAGGATCAGAAATCTCGTTCGTTAATGCCGAAACCGTCGAGACTATAAAAAGGCTAGGCATCAAGCCCAACGAGGAGAATAGCCAAGTGCAAATGGCCGATGGCACCACCGCCCGGACCTTCGGAAAGGTCCGACTATCGATGGACGTATAAGGACGGACCTACGTCCACGACTTCTGGGTCCTGCCGACTCTCCGAGAAGCCGCATTCATCGGGATCGATTTGTGGAGTCGCCTGGGGCTCACAATCTCACCACCGCGACAGCTACGAGCCCGACACCGCCAGCCAACCTGCGGAAAGACCAGCGGGCTGGCTACTTGAACAAAGGAAGAAGAAAACCGTCTGAAAGAATTCCTGGACCACAAACTCAAAAAGTTCCAGGCGGTCACAGGACCGACCCCGCTGGTCGAGCACTACATCCGATTGAACCGGACCGTACCAATCAAGCAAAGATATCGGCCACGCAATCCGGCAATGCAAGCCATCATCGACGCGGAAGTCGAAGAAATGGAAAAAGCGGGGGTAATCGAGCCATCTCGAAGTGCATGGAGCTCGCCCATAGTGGTCGTCCGGAAAAAGGACGGGAAAAACCGCTTTTGCATCGACTTTCGGAAAGTCAACGAGATCACCGAGAAAGATGCATACCCGCTGCCTCAAGTCACCGCCACCTTGGACAAACTACGCGGCGCCCGATATCTAACGACGCTCGATTTAGAAAGCGGGTACTGGCAAGTATCGTTGGCACCAGAAAGCCGACCGATCACAGCATTCACCGTACCGGGAAAAGGCTAAATGCAATTCCGGGTGATGCCTTTCGGGCTGCACTCCGCCCCGGCCACGTTCCAGCGCCTGCTCGAAACCGTCATCGGACCCGCGCTCGAACCGAACGTATTCGTATACTTAGACGACATTATTATAATCAGCCGCACGTTCGACGAACATTTAGACTTGCTCGCCGAAGTATTCCGTCACCTCCGTCAGGCCCGCCTCCGGTTACACCCAGACAAATGTCGATTTTGCGTCGACCACCTGAAAAACCTGGGGCACATTGTTGACCGTACCGGAATCCACACGGACCCTGACAAAGTCAGCGCGGTCGCGAATTGGGCCGAACCCCGTTCGGTAAAACAAATCCGACAGTTCCTCGGGATGGCGTCGTAGTTCCGACGATTCATAATAAATTTCTCGACGCTAGCCGCACCCTTCACGCAATTAACAAAGAAGAACGCCCGCTGGGCTTGGGGGGCGGAAGAAGCCGCCGCGTTCCAACAATTAAAACACGCGTTAACCACCGCGCCCGTATTCGCATGCCCGGACTTTAACCGCCGTTTCTTCCTACAAACGGACGCAAGTACCGGCGGCCTCGGAGCCGTCCTCACGCAATATCACGAGGACGGCGAACGCGTCATCGCCTACGCGAGTCGCACGCTATCCGGCGCCGAAAGAAATTAGAGCGCCACGGAGCTCGAATGTCTCACGGTTGTCTGGGGCATACGGAGAATGCAAAATTATCTAGAAGGGTACGCCTTCACCGTCATCACGGACCATCAGTCTTTACGCTGGTTGCAAAAACTGGAAACTCCGACTGGACGACTCGCCCGCTGGCTATTCGAGCTCCACCAATTTGACTACGAGATCAAATACCGACGAGGAGCGCTAAACCGCGTAGCCGACGCGCTCTCACGAAAACCGGAAATAAACGCGATTCAAACAATACATTGCCGCTAGTACAATCGCTTGCTAACCGAAATCCGACGCGATCCTGCCGCGCACCCGGATTACCGAATCACAAACAACGGGCTCTATCGCCATATCCTCCACGGTTTAAACTTCAAAGAAACATCCGCCGACGAACAGTGGAAACTGTGCGTGCCCCGCGAGCAACGCGGAGAGATCCTCCGACAGTCCCACGATGCCCCCACGGCCGGTCACGGGGAGGGGGGTCGCGAAAACCATCGTCCGCGTTGCTGAAAAATTGTATTGGCCCTGGATGTTTCGGGAAATCACCAACTACGTCCGACACTGCGCCAAATGCCTAGCGCATAAACCGCTACAACAAAAACCGGCAGGACATATGCACGCGACAAACGTTAACCGCCCCTGGGAACACGTCACGGCCAACCTAGTGGGACCGCTTACCCGAGCACGCCGGGGGCACGTATGGCTGCTAGTCATGCAAGACCGGTTTTCAAAATGGGTAGAACTCGCGCCATTAAGAAAAGCCACGGCACCGGCCGTAATGCGCGAGATCACGAACGTATAATCCTGCGACACGGCCACAGTATATACAGTAGCGCAACTCCCTGTCGGCACCTTTGATGTTAGTGTTGGCCAAAACGGAGTGCGAATGCGCGAAATAAGTAAGTTGGTATGTAACGCCATCTGAACTTCTCTCTCGTTCACTCTCGTTTTTCATTCTCTCTCTAACTCATTGATACATATGGAGCAATAGATAATAATCCAAAATAATGTATTTTAATAAAAAATATATACAGATAAATTGTTAATAATATATTTAAAAAAGGAAAAAAATAAAATAATAAAAAGATAAATATAATTATGCTAATATACAATATATTACATAAATAATTATGCTATATGCAAAATAGATAAATTGCGCAATCGTACAATAAATAACATATAATGTCATCTATTCTGCCAAATAAGGTAGGCAGTAGACATTTAATTGGGTATTTAAATAATGTGAAAGAGAACGAGAGAGTAGAAAAAAAAGAGTAAGTGAGAGAGAAATTTAGATGGCGTTACTGGCCAACTTACTTATTTTGCGCATGCGCACTCCGTTTTGGCCAACACAAAATCGGGAGAGTTGCGCTACTGTATATACTGTGACACGGCCGCCCCGATGTCATTATATCGGACAACGGAACGCAATTTAAGTCTGCGCCGCTAACAACGAGGCTCAACGCCTTCAATATCGAGCATCGTACCGCACCCGTCCGCGCCCCACATTGCAACCCCGTAGAACGCACCAACGGCACGATAAAAACAATGGTGGCACAATACGTAGACCGCGACCACCGAGAGTGGGACGAAAATCTCCCTGCGCTGCAATTCGCGTACAACACCGCCACGCACGACGCCACAGGATACACGCCAGCATACTTAAACCACGGCCGCGAATTAGTCCCGCCCGCCCCCGCCCTCCCAACACCTACGGAGGCCTCAGAACCCGACATCGTCCGACAACAACTTCGAGACGCCGAGGAAGTCGTGCGCATCAACCTGGCCAGGGGATTCCAGCGACAACAGCGATATTATGACCTACGACGGCGAGAATGGCGACCAAAGCTGGGCGAATATGTTTGGAAGCGAAACTAACCGCTATCCAACAAAGCAAACGCATTCAATGCAAAGCTCGCGCCAAAGTTCATCGGCCCACTAGAAGTACGTCGGCTTATTTCGCCGGTAATCGTCGATCTCCGGAGCAAACGCGGGAAATGGTATCGCCATATACATATCCAGGACCTAAAACCCGCTCCCGGCGAAAATAAAAATATTGATACCGACGACAACAACAATACAAAGGATCCGGAAGACTATAACAACAAAATAGACGAAAACAATAACGAGGAGGACGACGAGCAAAACAACCCCACCACGAGCTAAGAATCAAAAGCCGACGAAAGGAGAGCAACCAGAAAGATCACGAGCTCAGAAGCCTTCGAGATGGATATCGAGAGACATCCTCGAAGCTATTAACGAGATCTTGGAAGATCCCGAGCCGCCCTACGGCACAGGGGTGCTGGAAGTACCGCCGATCTCCCGGCCGCCACCACCAAGACGGCCGCCGAAGGTCGGCACCGCCATCCAGCGGTCCGACAGGACAAACCAGCGGAAGCTGGCCATGTTGGCCACACCGCCGCCGGCGCTAACCGCCTGCCACCGTCGCCGTACAACACCAGCACCGATGAGGTCGCCAGCCAAGCGACCAAGATCGCCACCGGGCCAGGATCCAGTACCAGAGGAGCGAACAACGGGGGAAACACCACCCGCCCCCCCCCATGCCCGAAATCCTGGTCCCGATAGGGCCCGCGCCGGCACCTCCGATCATGGTGGAACTCGAGCCGGGACTAGTAGCGCCGATCACGTATTTAGCGGTACACGTGTCCCGGCGATACAAAATACGGATACCGCAAGGACGATGGACCTTACGGTTCAATAGCGCCGGAAAATTGCGCTACCGCCGCAAGATGACCGAATGAGTGAGCGAATGCCACAAAGTTCAGGCACTGTAGGCGGGGGGGGGTGATGTAACGTTGCACCCCCTATCGTTACCCTGCAGTAGGCCGCCGGAAGTCTGCCGCCCGGCGAACACCAGCCGGGCAGGGGCAGAGGCGCCGAACGCCCATTTTTTAAACACTTATGCGAACGCCCGTACCACAGTTACACGGTCGCCGTAACGAAAAGCTCGGAAAACCGAACACCGCCGAGTGCTGCCGTAAAAGCCCGAGAGATACCAGCCGAAACGCCGCGCCGTTTCGCCCAGGGGAGATGACGTATTTACCGTAATTACCCGCGGAAAAACAACACGTCATTATCCCCACCCGGGGGCGAACGACGCGGTTACCGTTAGACGCTCGGGTATATAGCGGCAGCATTTTTACATCCCGGCACGCTATCTAAGATTCGGTCTAAGATAAGCGAGTTCGCCGCTCCGTCGAGGCTTCTCGACTCCCGATAGCCATCCTCTATCCGCGTACGGAAGTAAGGGACGGAGAGTTCTCCGCCCGATCGAGGATTCTCGATCTCCGGCCGCATCACTCCGCACACCTGGGAATACGCGGATAAGCACACGCAAACGTACCGACACGGTTTTAGCGTGAGCCAGCAATTATAATCGCACCGAGATACGTAACCGTATCACACGATAGAATTCCGCGCGCCGTCAAAATAAACACGGCCTTGCCGTACACGCGCCGATCGACCTCGCGCACCGACCAACGAACGCGAATTGCATCTAATGCGTTGCATTATCCGCCGCGCGCTAGCTTCACGCAACATATTGTAAATAGACCATTGCCGAAAGAGGCGAATAAATACGCTGCATTATAACTTAAGCTTTTCGTGTGTCTCACCTTTTCACGAGCCCTGATCCCGACCGAGTTCATCCGCGCGCGCTCGCGAAAAGTAACCCAGTTACAATGTTTATTCAATATTAATGTAAATCATATAAATGTGTGTGTGTGTGTTTGTGCGTGTGCGTACGTGCGTGCGTGCATGTGCGCGCGCGCGTGTGTGTGTGTGTGTGTGTGTGTAAAATATAAAATTATAATAATGATAATAATTATTATATAAAAATACTAAAATATAAAATATATAATAATATGTTAGGGTGACGCTCCATCTGAAACAGAAAAGAAATCTTATTAATAAATTAATTCAAATATTATAAAATTTTTAAAAACAGATACTTACAATGTTCACCAATCCTTGAACTCGACCGATAATGGATAACGTCTCAGGTGATTGTCCAAGCATGCTGTATACGATTTGATTAAACTGATTTCTCGACCATGTGTCACTTGCACTACCGAATTCACTGGTATGTTACTCGATAGCGCCGGGACATAGACATCTAAGCGTTTGTATTGTTTGCGTAACGAATGTCTTAAACTTTGTAGTCGTGCAATTCGGCCAAGCAGCGATCGAATCGCAAGCCCCTCTGACACTCTGATTCGATATTGTGCATCTAACTCATCGAGACATTTAAGATACTTGTCTTCCCATAAGTCACTTGAACACGCCGAGTTTACCCTTATGAAATCATCCCATAGATATTGTTCTAATCGCGTAATGTATTTGAGTTCCTCCATATTTCCTATTCAAGTCTTTTCACAACACAAGTTTTTGTCCAGCTTATACAGTGCAAATTGGGCACATATTGCAGGGCATTATCTGATACAGCGGTTTTCTACACTCTCTGCAAAACGATCCCAGGATTAGTTCATAAATTGCACTTTCATATTCTCGCATAACACGGATATTCGAAAATAAGTCTGAAATTCGCATAAAACAGCATGTGCTATATTTTTCGTTGTCTTCACTTTTATAAAAAAAGTATATACAGCACATTTTCACCACACCTAAACTATTTATTTCAACTCGGTTTAAAGTACGTTGATTTATGTCCGTAATATCACTACTGCAGTCACTATCGTAATCGGAATCCTCCGAAAGTACGCGGTCTTCGTCTGATGATTTGTCCAACAAATTCTCAATTTCTATCAAGTTGTCATCTTCGGGAATGGCATCCTCGTCATCTTCAATAACCATAACTTCTTCATTATCCATAACACATATTGTTAAGATTGTCGTAAGGGCGTAGACGGTTGCGTACTATAACGTTGCACACTCCTCTCGTTTATATATATTTTAATTTCATATCTTTTGTCTCCTTCTAACTGGAGTATTACGTCTCATCTATCTCATCATTTTTCTACATCTTTAGCAGAGTGTGTTGAGAGAAAGATCTAAGTTTTGTAACGCGGTCACCTCGCTCGACGCTCGGATCGGCTCGTCGGTGTCCGGGTTCGAGAGGAGGGGAGACTCAAGCTTACGAGACACAGTATAGATAGAAAGAGATAGTTTTATTCAGTTGAAGAAAGATAGATACAGTGTGCAGGGTCTGGCGATAGCGTGCGGTGAATGCGGTCGCTGGTAGCAGGATCTGCGGAGCGCAGTGCGCAGGCGCGAAGCGAAGGGCGCAAAGCCGCGAGAAGCGAAAGCCAGGCGCGGCAGGCAGGCGGTGACGGTTTTATTTACATGCGCTGACGGCGCGATTAGAACTAGCGACTTATGACTAACAGGCCTTATACCTAACGGACTTAATACTAGACAGGGCTTACTACTAGCAGGTCTTATAACTAGCGGACTTATTCTTAGACCGGGCTTATTCCTAGCATGCGGTTACAACTAGCGGACTTAGCACGAACAGGCCTTAAGACTAAAATGCGGTTACAACTAGCGGACTTAGTGCTAACAGGCCTTATACCTAGCAGGTCTATGACTACGAGACTTAGAGCTAGCGGACTTATCTCTAGCATGCGACTAATATTTACAACGCGGTATTTACATGCACCTTATTCTATGGGTTAGGTTAGGTGGTGAGGTATTGCGGGTAGTACCGAGTGTCACGTCGGGCCTACCTTGGCAACGGAAACCGGCGAAACCCGGCAGGGCTGAGCGAAACCTCAGCCCGGGTAGGTGTTAGGAGCCGGCGAAACCCGACAGGGCCAAGAGAAACCTTGGCCCGAGGAGTGGTGACAGGAGTCGGCGAAACCCGACGGGGCTGAGCGAAACCTCAGCCCGAAGGTAGAGAGAGCCGGCGAAACCCGGCAGAGACGAGAGAAACCTCGTCCCCGCGAGGCAGTAGGTATTAGGCAGGTTCGTGTCTGGAGTCGGATCGCAGGATGGGATCTGGTCCCGATGTCTCGGCCGGCCGGGTTTGCTGGGAGTGAACGCGCATGCGATAAGCAATATGGCGGCGGGCAGGACAGGTAGAGCTGGGTTAATAAGCAGGCCATGTGTGTGTATCTATATATTTGGTGACTAGTTATACACCGGCCGTAGTAACGGCCTTGCCGTTACATCTTTACAGACTGTGCATATCTATTACACCGTTTTATTCATACATAACGGATGGGTTAAATAATTAAATTCACAGATAAATAGTAAAATAACTTATTTATTATAAGCATCGTGAAGAATATCATTTACAGCACATGTTAATAACTCGCAATCTATGAATGATTCGCTGTTAAACATATCACTTTCACGTTCGCTTTTGCAGCGTTGCATACATTAGCGATATTATTCTGTTGTAAAACCGTTACAAATTGTTTGAATTTTTTATTTACAATATGAGTATTTTTGCATAGCCAGTAATACATATGATCTATGCATTTTTCAAAATCGAATAAATATAATAGAGTTGGCGGTTTCATGTATAAAGAATTATTGGATAATCCGATTTTTATAATATTCGAACTAGATATTTATTATTATT